GAGAGAGAGAGAGTGTGTGTGTGTGTGTGTGTGTGTACACATGTGTACCTGTTTTTCTATTCTGGGGGGGACTTAAACCTGACTACACACAGACTCATGGGGACTTGTGTCACGGTGGGGACCTAAATTGAGGTCCCCACGGGTAAACAAGCTAATCACACAAAATCAAGTTTTTTTTTAATCTAAAAATGCAGAAAGTCTCCTGGGAGGGGCAGGTTTTGGGGTAGGGTTGGTGTAGGGCAATAGAATATACGGTCTGTACAGTATAAAAACCATTACGCCTATGGAGAGTCCCCACAAGCAGATGTCCAGACAGAGTGTGTGTGTGTGTGTGTGTGAGAGAGAGAGAGAGAGAGAGAGTGTGTGTGTGTGTGTGTGTGTGACAGAGAGTGTGAGTGTGTGTGTGTGTGTGAGAGACAGAGAGAGAGAGAGTGTGTGTATGTGTGTGTGACAGAGAGAGAGTGTGTGTGTGTGTGTGTGTGCATCAGTCGTACCTCGGACAGTTTGTGCGCTCTGTAAGGAGATTTTCCGCACTGGATCAGTTGAGCCGCCAGATTACAGTCTTTCCTATACAGATCCTGCGGGAAAAGCAGAAACCATACATGATTTAATTTGGCAAATGATCATTCAATATTCAACTCTCACTCTATCAACATTACACATCTGCCATTTACTGACAAACACAGCAGACGAATGTCTTTCCTCATTTCATTTGAGCTGAATGCGGCTGATGGGAGCACTGATTATGTTAGTGTAGTTAGACATCAGTGGGTTAAACTGATCATGTCAAGAAAAGTTCTGAACCCATGATTCTCAAACTAGCGTGTTGATCTTCCCAGTCCATCAGTCACTTGAACCGCATGCCTTTATATCTCTAAACCAGAAGAGTTTGAGTGGACCCTCACTAGTGAGCCTAGAGAGAAACCAAGTGGATGCTGAAGCACCGGCTGCCCCTCAAACGCTTGCTCCATCAGAGAGCTCTCAGCGCCCGAGGCTGATAAATATTAGGTGAAACCTGTCAGGAACCTTCAAAGAACACCTGCTTCTGGCAGACGATGGTTCCTATGAGCCAGCAGGGATCTGAGCACTCTGATGAAGCTGTGGAGGCGTCACTAGCCTGTGGATGATACGTACGTTATCCTCTCGCAGCTTCTGGATGCTGATCTTGGCCTCCATCAGGTGGTTTTTCAGCGTGACGATCTCTCGACTCAGAGATCTCTTCTCCTCTTCATGACGTTGAGTCTGAAACACAAAGAACCAACATGAACATGCACTATATTGCCAAAAGTATTTGGACACCCCCTTCTGATGAACAGGTTTGACTACTTTAGTAATTTCAATGAGTAGAAATATTAATGATAAAGCCATCACCACTCAAACACCAATGACTTATACATACACTATATGGACAAAAGTATTGGTACACCCCCTTCTTTAGAACAGAAAAAGGCACTTCCAAAACTGTGGCATCAAAGATGGAAACACAATTTATGTATTTAAAAAATGTATTTCCATCTCTGTTGCAACAGTTTTGGAGGTGTCTAAAATTACTGTAGCCACATGCACAAGTCACTGGTGTTTGGTGATGAGTTTTCAGCTCAAGCTCTGCATTTAAAGTCACAGCAGACCAGTCCAGTTCTTCCACACTCATCTTTTTGAACCTTGTCTTATACACAGAGGCATCGTCATGTTAGAATAGAAAAGGCTCCTGTCCGAACTGTTGCTATAAAATTAGAAGCACACAATTCCCTAGAATATCATTATATGCTTTAACATTAATATTTCTACTCATGGACTAACCCTAACCTGTTCATCAGAAGGGGGTGTCCCAATACTTTTGGCAATAGAGTGTATTACAGTACTATATACTGCAAGATGTAATAAACATTATCATGAAGATTTTCTGCAAAGCTGCTTTGGAAATATTATTGTGAAAAGTGTTCAGTTCAGTCCGTAATTTGTTAATCAATCAGATGAGTTTTGTAAGTCATCAGATCTCGAAGCATCTGTTTGTTTGAGTGTTTGTTGGAATGAAAATCCCTTTATTTTTTCGGCTCGCATTCATTGAACAAACCATGTGGAGCATCAGCAGTATTTGCATATGATTAATGGATTTAATTTGACAGGATTTATATCTGCACAGACCTCGTTCTGTCTGACTCTGGATATAATTAACAGAAACAATCAGACACTCACATGACGGATGTACTGCAGCATTTAATCTGTGAAGGAGCTTTAATATAAACCAGAATCCAACACACATCAACCGGTATTTCAAGATGTCTATAGATCAAGCTCAAATAAGATGATTGAAATGAATAGTTGATTTCTGCTGATGAAAACACCAGTGCACTGTGTGTGTCTCTTCTACAGCAGTCGTTCATCAGAGATCAGCGCTGGACTGAACGAGTGATGCACTGTGATTGTGGCTTAATCGCAGGTACGTCGTCACTCGTCTCTCTTCACTTATATGATGCTGTTTCTATGGCAACATCTGTCAATCATTGTCATGTGACCTGCAGTGATGTTTCACCTGAGTATGACTATTTACTGAGTTTTACATTGGAGTTTAACGTGTGTGTGTGTGTGTGTGTGTGTGTGTGTCTGAGTGTGTGTCTGAGTGTGTGTTTCTGCTCTGGTCTCAAATCCCCTGTGAGCCGATTACTCAAAAACTGAAAATAATGAGGCTGGAAGTGTGAGATGCGCAAGTGTCTTTGAAGAGAGTCCAGTGTGTTTCTGCAGGCTGACTGTGTTTAGAGGAGGGATGTCAGCGATTATTCAATGATCAATGAATTTTGGACAATCGATTAAAGCTATCAATGGTCGATTAAGCAGTTTAATTTTGGGCTGCGTGCAGCTCGTGTGCAAAACACGTGCGAGCGGCTGAGTGATGGTGACGGGGCTGGATATATAAAATCATTCCTACAACTTGTTCATTCATTTCTGTGACTTGTGTCCATGTTTCATTAATTTGTTGAAAACCCATGATTTAACTAAAATGAGGGAACAAATTAAGTCTCGGGCCTCGAAATCTTCATTCCCCCCACATGTTTACCACAGTAAGAGATGCGAAAACGGTGATTAAAAGTGCTGGACAATAAAATAAACCTGTGAAATTAGAGGGTGAGACGGAGAGGATTTGGGAAAAGAAACAATAAAGGCCTATTATTAAATTTGTGAAAATTCGTGACTAACCGGCAAAACAGAACACATAGCCGCGTATGGCTTTAAATGTATCGAGCAGCATGAATGCACAAGCGATGTAACATTTGCCTGCTAACCCATTAGGCCTATTTCTCTCGTAAACAAAGCTTTGTACCTCACTTGTGTCATAATACTCACATTTAAATGTTTAATGTGAGCAGCAGTGTGTTTTGCCGCAGCTCCGCGACACAGAAACATGTGCCGCAGTTACCTTTGGGATCTTTTTATTTTAAATGCCAATAGTGTCAATTGCAAACATTTTATTTAGACTAAAACCCCTTTAATTCGGGTGTTTTGAGTGGCATTTGCTCATCATGCTGGTGAATATATGCCACTGCAACAGACGCATTTTGCAGTATTTAAACGCTGATCGATCATGGAAATAATCTAAAGTTGACATCCCTAGTTTAGAGTGAATGTAGATGTCGTCTCTCAGTTTAGAAAGAGCTGGATGTGGATGAATGGCCCGTCGTAAGGCTCTGTCGCTGCGATTCCTTCTGCTGCGGATGAAACGGATTTGAACACTGATGCGTGTCTCTGGGGTCTCGTTTGTGTTCTCACTCAGAAACTTGGACTAATGAGGACACCGAAAATGCCAAACTCAGGAAAAACACTGAAACGGCCGACAGCATCAAGACGGACTCTGTGTGTGTGTGTGTGAGTGAGTGTGTGTGTGAGTGTGTGAGCGAGCGAGCGTGTGTGCGAGTGTGTGAGTGTGTGTGTGTGTGTGTGGGCTGGTGGGTGGGTGAGTGTGTGTGTGTGTGTGTGTGTGAGTGAGTGAGTAAGTGTGTGAGTGAGTGTGTGAGTGAGTGTGTGTGTGAGCGAGCGAGCGAGCGAGTGTGTGTCAAGTCAAGTCACCTTTATTTATATAGCGCTTTTAACAATACAGATTGTGACAAAGCAACTGAACAGCATTAATTAGGAAAATAGTGTCAATAATGCAAAATGACAATAGTAAACACTCATTTTTCAGTTAAAGACTGTTCATCATTGAATTCAGTGATGTCAACATCCAGCTCAGTTCAGTTTAAATAATATCTTTGCAATCATGTCAACGATAACGCTGGAAATGAAGTGTCCCCAACTAAGCAAGCCAGAGGCGACATGTGTGTGTGTGTGTGTGTGTGTGTGTGTGTGAGTGAGTGAGTGAGT